TGGTGGAAAGGCTAACTGGTATTTAGTTTTTACAGAACTTTTTAATTGTTGTGTTAAATACATAATTTTTAACCTTATTCAGAATACATTTTTGAAGTATATTTTGTTTTATTTCTAAAATATATGTATGACAAGAAATTTATTAATTTCATAAGAACCGGTTTATATCAAAGTACTAGTTTAGAACAGGTGTGAAGTCTTTGAAGATATTTGTGAAAAAAATTTCCAGATTTTCAGGAGTAGTTTCTAATAAAGAAGTAACATTATTGACTACATCTTTGTTGCTGGTTAAATTATAATAGTAATAGAACATTGTTTGCTTTGTGTGTGTTATTTTAAGTGCTTATTTGAAATAAATAAAAATTATTTAATGTATTAGAATCATCATTAGGGTTTTTTATAGGTTATGCAAAGGAAATATAAAAAGTCACCTTGCTCTTGGACTAGTCAATATTCTGACTTTGTGTATTCATGGGCAAATCTTTAGTAAAAATATTTAATTATGAAATCTGACTTTTTTCTGTACAAAAGACTTGTAATGTTTATAAAAGCTTGTCAAATTTTATGAAGATACACTTACTATATTAAAAGTTATAGTACGTTTACTTTCATGGTTACCTAACCATTTCCCACATCTTCATTTTCATTCTCAATTGCACCTTCAGACTGATTTACTTTTTCCACCTTTTCAGCATTGAACCACGTAACCGTTCTTTGCATTCTTCCAAAGTTGCCTGCTTTTGTCTTTTTTGCATAACCTGATTCAAAGTTTCTGCCCTTGTCACATTTTCTTCCGCTCTTAGACATTTTTTGCAATGGGTATAATCTCATTATTTGTCACTAACCACAGGTAATTCACTATATGACAAGAACTGTTACAAATTCATTCAAGCTTCTGGTTGCTTTTCCTGTGGAAAACAAATTTGCACTGTGATTAAAATTGATGGTTATATTGGTTATAGGTAATATGTAACTAAACGTAAGAGAGAACCATTAACAAATCCTGAAAGAGAGGATGTGGCAGGAGGGGTCTGATTTTCTATTTGGTAGCTCTGTGACCAAATAAAACTGAGAGCTATAAAAATTATGGTTTGTCTGAGAAAATTGGATTTTATAGGGGATAGTTTATGTTAAATTCTGCACATATTCAAGGGGTGATAATAAAATAGAGAAGAGAACAAACCTTGAGAAAATGTGTCACACCCATCACACTAGGGGAAATTCAGGATTTTTAAAATATTTCCTTACAGAATTAAGAACTTAAAACTTGTATAATATTAAAATATGGATTATTAGCTAAGATTTTATGCTATATTAATTGTTTTAACATAAGCAAAAAGTAGTTTAATATAATTTTGAATATAAGACACATAAACCCTTGTGTCATGTGCAGAAAAGCATACCCGGGTGGATAGGGTTAAAGCAATGTTTGTTAAAAGTATGCATATTTTGTAAAAGATGTATATTACAAGACTTAGTGCACTTAAATTAGATTGTTAGCTAATGGAAATGGGGATATTTAATCAAGTATAATTACAGTCTGTTAAGCAATGGTTCGCTAGTTATACATGATATTTTTAACTAATTTCTAAGATAGCTAATATTTCATTGCTCAAGCTTAAGTAGCATACCCATTACTATAACAGTACCCTGATGGATAGTAGCCTAGTCAAACAAACATACATCAGTCTTTCAGGAAAAGATGCCCACTTGATAACATTATTCACCATTGCTATATTTATCTTAACCCTTTCACTGCATAATAGTGTAGAAATGCTCAGTGTCCAGCATGCAAAAGAATGGAAAAATTGAGTTCATGCCTTGAGTGAGGCTGGGAGGATGGATTTTGCAAGGCTAAAAGAATTCTACCTTTAAAGTGGTCTTGCGTGAGGCTCTAGGCAGTCACCTAGTTCGGCTTACAGTAGAGCTGCCTCTGTTCTTGGACCTACAGGTGAGCAAACCACATTTGTCCTGCTATTACCTGATCAGAACCAACAACTTTTTGGTATTACCAGCTTCAATGATTTTATGCTCTTAACAAATTTCATATGATACAATCTCTGCTGTTACTCATTATTTTGCAGACTAGCCATGACTAAATCTTTGTATTGCCATCTTGAAAGAACTCTTGTTGGTTGAATGTGATCGACAATAGTATTTATTCTGGATTTAATTTGTATTTTAAAGGAATCGTGGGATGCAACATCTAGCATGTGATAATTTCTCGTACCATTAACCCATTTCCAAAAAACTTGAGCTATTTCAATAACACAAGTGGGGTCAAATGTCTCATGTAATTTCTTCATTCAGGTAATTTATACTCTTCGGTAAGTACAGAAACACAAATGATCAGACCACACATGCTACAAGTTGTTTATTGCCCACAGTCGGTGCTTTGAAAATTGACAAAGCCATGCTTTTCTGTTTGCATAAAGATGAGCAGATTTTGACATGGTTACTAGTTGCTTAAGATAGTTTTTCTCGATGTTTTGTTCTATGTAAAAGATATTCAAACCCCACATATTGTTGAACAGATTGTACAGTTCAGATGCAGTTTGTTTCCAATTTACAAGACAGTCCAGTTATTCTGACCATTTGGTTTCTTACCAAAGCTTTTCCTAATGGCAGATGATTTCTTTTAATTACACATGTTAATAAACTTTGAACAGCTCATGAAAGAAATGTCACCCAACCTATGTGTGGAAAGAACCTTCTGTTTTACCTTTTGGAAGTCTCAGCTCTTACCCATTGTCTTGCAGACTAGCCATGACTCTCTCTCTCTATACTTACCCTTAAATTTCTTAAAGTAGAAATGAATTGAAATAAAGCCACCCTAATATTTATACTAATTAAACTCCCAACCTTCCACCCTTACAAAAAGATATTAAATAGAACTATACACCCTACCTTAAAAGTTCTTATATAGTTCTAACTCCCAACCTCCTCCCTTTCTCCTGAAGATTTATTCAAGTATAACATAGGAATGCCAAGACGAGCCCAGCTAATTGAAGTTAGTTTTCCATCCCGGTTATACTGAATAAAATAACTTAAAATTATTATTAGCTACTTATAAGCTAAAATAACTAACTCCTTCTGTATTTTATTTATAAGATATTTTCCTTAATTTATTAAAAAAGTATTTCTACTTTAAAAAATTTATGGGTAATTGCCTTCCCACAACTGGCTATAAACGGTGAAAGGCAGTAGAAGCTGAGGCATTGTGGGTGTAAGCACTAAGCTTCGTACCTTATTTAATTGATGTTTTTTTCATGATTTTCCATGATGGCTGACTAGATTGACATAAGCATTTGGATATTGTCTAATAGATAGGATATCTCAAAGTATTTGGGTGCTATTACCACAGAGATTATCCATTATGACAATATGTTGACAACCAGGACTGATAACGATATTACAATATTTAATTCATTATCGTTTTATAGTTCTTATTTAATTGCCTATAAACAATTAATGTAATAAACAGTTTGTAAGCTATTTATTTATATTTATATATAAACTCTTCTCTTAAGCATTGATGGTATCTCTTTTCTTATGCATAATGGTATTTGTGAATGATACCTATTCTACATTAGTGGTACAACATTTTGAAATCTTGGCTCTTGTTTATTGTTTTTCAGACTAGCTATGACTATATATCTTCTATCCATTTTTTGTAGGCTAACCATAACTAATCTCCGCTCTTACACATTGTCTTTCAAGCCAGCCCTGACTAAGCTTTTATCCATTGTCTAGCAAATACACTGCTATTATATCTCTTTTCTTACCCATTGTCCTGCAGACTAGACTTTGATTTGACTGACTTTGTAACCTCAATAAAAATATTAGGAAATAAATATAAATTATGCTTTTTTTGTTTCAGAATGACATCAGATTATAACGCGAAAATACAAATGTTTAGTCTAAATAGCTTAAATTTCATAACCTTATACATTTCTAAATATTTATTATTTTTATTATATTGATCTTTCAGCCATGCCTGGCTAACATTATTGAAATTTCAATGACATGGCACATGGGCACTGATGTTACTGTATCCAGGAATATAAAGCTGGCCTTTACAAAGTGACCTGTCTTGGCTGTGTTTTAGTAGTCTAGCATTTTGTAAAATACAGTTACATTTCATTTTTAATGCATTATATATGTATATACATTATTAATATTTAAAAAAAGTTCTTAAATATCAGTTATTTTTCTTAAAACTATAGAACATTAAATAAAGAATTATAGAAAATAATTGTCTCTTCTAGTTACAAACTTTGAACTCATTTGCTGCTTGCCATAGGTTGCTAAGCCTTATCAAAGTTTGCACATGGTGGATGTGAAACGAAATAATTTTTTTAAAGTTTTATATATACTTTTTGAAATAACCAAAAATCATAAATTACTGTATCAATACCATAGAATTCCACTATAATTTATCAAACTTAGTAACTAAGCTGTATTTGGGTATAAAAAAAATATGAAATTTTGAGCTCACTAAAGTTTCACCTTACCTTTTCGAATTCAAGCTTTAAAAGAACGAGTTTGGCAATGAATACTTCAATTCCACTTGGAAAGCCACTAGGGGGAAAGTTTGCGCTTTCGATTGGTTATTCACACGTCTTAGAAGTAAGTGTATGTAAGCATGTTATTCCAAAAATGAAGAGGTGGGCAGGGGCCACTGTGTTTGTTGAGTACATGTAGTGATGTCTCAGCAAATAGAAAATATAGGAGGTTCTTATTTGATATACTAGCTGGTCCATATCAGTAATTTGAGTTCCTAATTCATAAGAAACTATAGACTTTGTATTTGGACATCACAAACATGTAATTTGAACCAATGCTGCATTCAACATACCACATGGCACATAAAAATCGATATTTAGGATTTCTTTTTTAATATTTACTTTTAAATTAAGAAATTAATTAATAGATCATACTAACGTTTATATTATAATCTACAATTTAATACCAAACTTATTGATATACATTCATAAAATAGTACTTCAATAAAATCTTGAATACGAGTCTATAAACGCGATGACATGGCCTTTGACCCGTGATCATAGAAAGACCCATAGAGATAGGGTTAATAAAGGCATTAAAAAAAGAGTTATAATAACCCTCTCACTATGGGCTCAGTGGATTACACTGACCTCGTGACCATCAATTTCCACACTATAAGTTTTGTATCTCCAAAAAATGTTTCAAGCTCTTTTTGTAGACCAAAAAAATCATGATTTTTAATTATGTATTTTTACTAAAAATTTGTGTGTGAATATATGAAATCAGAGTGTTGACTGATTCCAGTGCAGAGTGATTTTCATGTTAAGATTAAAAAATACTTTTCTTCACATGAAAATTTTCAAGTTTTATTTGTATGATCTAAAACTGCCTAAATAAATATCAAGCTTTTTTACACACACACACATTATATGTATACATGTATAGAATGACTGCAGATTGTAACAGGAAATCACAGTTGTTTATCACAAAATAGCTTAAAGCCTGTAACAGTATAAATCAGTTTATAATTAATTTTATTGTTTTATTGCCCTTTGAACTGTGCCTAACTAGTAATTACACCACAAAAGTTGTAAGTTACTTGGTGAAACTGGATCATGGTACTGTATTGAATTACATAATGCACAAACTGCCCACGACCATACCTCCTTAAGAATTTTTATCTTTTTTTTAATTATCTTACCTAATCTAACCTAATAAATTTCTAATTTTATCATTTTAGTTACTTTTATAATAATAAATAAATATTACATGTGAAAAGCAAGAAATATAGTACTTACCTGGATATCTCATATTTGTTGCTGCCAACTCTTGATGAAACTTAAGCCTAATTTTCTATACTAATGATACTAATAAACTAAACAATTTTTATTTGATTAAATAATGCATCTAAGAAGACAAAATAATAACACACAAAACAATCAATGTCCTACAAGTATATTTTCCTGGCTTTCTAACTATGCCATAAGAACCTTTAAAAATTCTGCTAAGCTTGTTGATGTGATTCCCTTGAGAAAAAATTTTAAACTGGAGGTAAAATAGACAATTCTATGTATGGAAAGTAATGTAATGTAATACATCATATGGCAAGTGGGTCTGATTTTCTATTTTATGACTTCATAAACAAATAAAGTTAGAGGCTATAAAAAGTTCTTTGGCCGAGTAATTTCTATATTATAATGAGTAATTTAAATTAAATTATGTATGTCTTGAAGGGGTGATAAATAAATTAGAGAAGAGGAAAAACATAGAGAGCAAGTGTCACAATTTTCATACTTGGGAAGATTGAGGATTTTGTTTTTATATTTCTCTATAAAACTGAGAACTTAAAGCTTATATAATATTAAAATTCAATTTATTAACTACATTTTGATGCCAAGTTTATTCATATAGAATGATAATAAAGTATGTTAATTAAACTTTGAATATAACTCTAAAAATCTGTGATATGCACACCTTGATGTGCCCATAACAATAGGGTTAATTCTGTTAGGGATACTGCCAAGACATAACTGTGAGGATGAAATTATACATATAATTTGCTAGGCTTAGCTTAATTGTAAGAAAGAGTAGATTGTTTTGATGGATTTGTGGGATCAATTCAGTGGGAAAAGGAAGTTTTTTGGAATGGATGGTTTAAACAGAGTAGAGACTGGCTTGTTTGCAATGGCTATTAACACCACTCTAAAGGCAACTTTAGAATTAGACAGTAGAGATTGCCAGAATAGTGAAAAACTGTGGAGAGGTGTATATTGTGGGAACAAGGTACAAAGGTAGTTTTAATGGCAAGCTAAACTGCTATTATTGTAATGCTAGATCTATAAGAAATAAAAATGGATTACTTTAGAGCATTGGTTCAAATAGAGGATTTTGATTTAATGAGAATAACTGAAACCTGGTTAAATGCAGACAATTTTGATATTGTAATTTCTTAATGTTGGTACTCTGAAATGCAGTTTAAAAAAATTGTTGTAATATGATACTGGTAATAAGAAATTCTCTATTCAAACTCTCAATAAAAATGTCAAGGATTTATTTCTAGGACTTCTCCAAGGAAGTAAGGTGCTGTGTGAAGTCAAAGCCAAGACTAAATAAAAACAAAAATTATTCTCCAAGAAGTCTCGGAGAAAAATGTAAAACACATAAAGGAAAAAATATTTTACAGTTTCTCTTATGGTAATTGTGTGAATTCTTAAAAAATATATCTATATTGGCATCTTAAGGAAAACTGCAACAGTATGTTAGACTCTAGAAACATACACATTGAATGAAGGCCATCTGAAAAGATGCAATAATTTGTTAGACACTAGAAACACACATGATAAAACTATCCAGACATTTGAAAACTGTTCACTTAACAATGAACATGCTGATTTCAGCTCCTTGATCTTGGTTTACAACAAGTTTTCTGTTTTATATGTAGACTCTCTTTTCATCGTTTGTAACCTTCATGCATGTCATCTATTTTCTCAGATATCTATTAAGATATAAAGTAAATTTTCCATACAACTCTTAAGTCTTTTTGCTTCATCCTTATGTATGAATGTTCTTATGAAATTAAGTGATTTCTCGACTGTTGTACATAGCAGTAGTTATTCTTAATTTCGTAGATTAAATCTAGTTTTAATAAATTCTACAAAACTTTACTCTTAAATTTTTTATGTTGGTTGTTTTTAGGTACTTTGTGTTAGCTCGAAGCAATCCAGATCCCAAGTGCCCTGCTAATAAATCCTTAACAGCCTTTATTGTAGATGCTGACCTACCTGGGGTGTCTGTTGGACGGAAAGTAAGAAAATATTTTCTATAATCCTTAAGCTTATTTCAAATTCTTCAGAGTTTAAAAATTCAGAAAAACCCATTCCATGAAGCTTAATAAAAAAAATGTTTTTCAGAAATTTACAATACACAAACAGTTAAAAAACTTGATTAAAAACAGTATCATGGTAAAACAATAAATATTTGTTCTGATACTTCAGAGGTTGAATACATTATAATAAAATTATTTTAAATATGCAAATTAGCAAGTCATGTGACAACCACTGCCAAAACAAAGTTGGAGAAGAATGGAATGTATCAGAACTACATTTTGGCAGTGTTTGGTGTTTTGTAGGTAGTGTGATGCCACTAAATGTTGATTGATTTTGGAAAGTGTATGTACCAGTCCTTTCCAGCCAAAACATTTGTTTGTCCAAATGAACAAATAAATATGTTCAGATAGGAGATTTACAATTTCTAAGACATATCTCTTGAACCTAACCATATGTGTATAGGTGGGGGTCAAAGTGCAGAATGTCACAACCTTTCACAGAGTGGAATTCAAAATGTAATTAAAATCCTTTATTATCAATGTATGTCATTAAACTTGTTATATAAATTTAGGTTATATTTCAGATTTCTATTATATCTAAGTTTTTATTTCTTAATATCAAAGGAAATATTTAAACAGATTTCTTAAACTTCACTTTTCTGTGTCATATTGGTCACTTTAGATAGTCTTTCTATCCCTGTATGATCTTCTGAGTTTAACACAAATTATATCTTATAGTATAGACATAATTAAATTTGTAGCCTTCAATCTTTTCACTTTGCTGAGGTATAAACAAGAAAGTCAAACCCACTTGCTATACCCTCATATCATATCCTGTCTTTCAAAAAGGTAAGCTCCCCAGTGGCACAGCGGTATGTCTGCGGACTTACAAAGCTAGAAACTGGGTTTCAATACCCGTGGTGGGCAGATCACAGATAGCCCTTGTGTAGCTTTGTGCGTAATTAAAAACAAACAAAAAAGGTAAATAATTCTCTCTCACATTTGCTATTGGATTATTTATAACCAACAGAAACAGATTTTAATTTACTAAATTCTTTACTAGGCTAACTCATTCTGATGGTTGTTTATGAATTATTCAGTATCAGAATCATTGTTGAGTTAGAATTATTTTAACCCCATTATTTAAAAAGACAGTTTAATCATAATAGTTATAGGATATTGTATTTTTTGTATGTTATTGTTTTGTGTTCTGAATTGCATGTTTGAAATAAATAAAAATTAATTATTTAGACTTTGAGAGGAAAAAAATTCAAAATCTGCATATAAGTACTAAATTTTTCATTGTTTATGTATATATTTTATTTATTATTATAAAAGTATTAGAAACTTATTAGGTTAGAGAAGAAAACTTAAAAGAAAAACAAATTAAATAAAAAATTTCTTCATGAGGAATGCATGTGAGTTGCTTATAGGTGATGTAATTCAATACTTTGTTTAATTTGACTTGCACACTGCTTTTGTTGAGTGATTTATTACTTTTTATGCTAGTTTAGTAGTTAGAAATGCTTCAAAGAACAATAAGACAATTAAGTTAAATGAAAGCAGTTGTGAAAAGATTAGAGGAATGAAGATGCTGGGACAAATAATTATAATTGTATCTTGTAGTTTGCAGTCATTCTAGAAAAAAAGTACTTTTGATTTTATTTCATACTAGTAGAATGTGTTGAAATTTGATATAAAGGTGTGATATTTCACAAAATTCTCATTCTTACCTAACCACATAAAATCGAATATTTGGCCACTGAGATGTTTTCTTTCTAAAATTTCTTTCAGAACTAATAACCCTTTTCTGGTAATGTTGAGTACTCACCCCACCTTCAAATGTTTTAGTATGTCATCCATGTTTATGATTTGTTAACAACAAAATGACCATTATGCCCCTTTTTTGAAAGTTTGAATTAGTTATCAATGTTTTTTGCAACTTAAGAGAATTCTCAGAACTCAACAAAACATTGAATTTCTAAACAAAAGTTTAGAGGATTACACAGCAAAACTATTCAAAGCTCAAATATAAACAAAACAAGTTGAAACATGCATTTTTTTAAGATATAAAAATGTAGCATATTTTCTATTAGCATAAAACAACATAAACAATGCTCTTAAAATTGGCCTTGCATCCTTAAGAGTGGCTCTTACCTAATGCCTGTACATCTAAATTTTTTGTGTATTCTTTTTCTATTCTATTTTATATTAATATGCAATGGAAAAATGGACTTCTATTTTCCCAAGTTATATTATTGTAAAATTTTTCAACTTTCCCTGTAGATGGTTTTACTATAATTGGTATAAGGGTAGAGAAAAGAAGAGAGAAAGTATAAAGTTTTTACCAAAAAAAAGGCTTTTGATATTCAGTTAGGAAAATTGAAAAGTTTAACACGAAAAAAGTTTTTATTATTAACATGAAAATTATCTTCACTTCAGGCTAGTCAGTGTCTAAATCAGTAAATTCACAGACAAATGTTTATTAAAAATCCTGATTTTTTTTAATATGCAACATACTTGTAAAGTTTACTAAAAGTATGCCAAAATCTTGTGGAGATTCTTTAAATAAATTCAACATTGTAGTGAAAATTAATTTTCCAGTACAGGCTTTGTCCAGAGAACTGACTTGTGCATGTAGGATTAACCCTTTCACAATGGGCTTGGTATAAAATACAATATTTCCTATACACATTTGTACTTTTAATGCAGCATGTGTATTTTCACAAAATTTGGTAGACCTTTAATAACGATTGCATATATTTTGTACACAAAAAATCAGAATTTTTAATCAGGTATTTTAACTAAAGATTTCTTTGTAAAAATATTGAGTCTTTTTTGTTACTAGTCCTAGTGCAAAGTGATTTTAATGTTATGATTAATAACTTCTTTGTCCCAAAATTCTCAATTATTATTTGTGTAATCTCTAGAACCTCCTAAATACATTTCAAACATTTGTTTTCAGTAAAACTTCATATTTTGTCTGTTATTTTCTCTACCCTAACTATATGGTCAATTTGACTGACCTCGTAACCACCATAGAAAAAGTAGGAAATAAATTATGCTTTTTTCATTCTAGAATGACTACAAGTTATAACACGAAAACACAAATGTTCAGTCTAAATAGCTTAATTCTCATAACATTATACATTTACATATATTTATTATTTTTATTATATTGACCTTCTAGTCATGCCTAATTAACATTACAGAATTTGCAATGATGCACTGCACGTGCACCCTTGATACCGTATTTAAGAATATAAAACTGGCCTTTACAAAGTGACCTGTTTTGGCTGTGTTTTAGCGGATTAGTATTGTAAAATACAGTCACATTTCATTTATAATACATTATATATGTATATACGTTATTACTATTTACAAATAAGTTCTTAAATTTCAGTTATTTTTCTAAAAACATATAACAGTAAATAAAGAAGTATAGCAAACTATTATCTCTTCTAGTTATGAACTTTGTACTCGTTTACTGCTTGCCTTAGGTTGCTAAGTTCTTATCTAATTTTTGACT